ACCCAACCAATGGTCCAATGCTGGAAATTACGAATACTATGTACGTTCCACAAGGTCTTCCTGACGCTCCCTCCGAGTTGCGAAAACAAGGTCAAAGGAGACTGCGACCAAACAGATCACAGCATATTGCTCTTTAGATTTACGATCTAATTTCTTATATTGGTTTATTTATGGTTTCAGCGTCTACTTGTTCTCATCCCAGATTGGCTAAAACTATGGAATTTTGAGTCAAAGTATAAATAATTCACCACTAAACCGTGCGAATCGAATGTCATGGAGTTTCACTTTAGGCTTTGTGTAAAAATTAATGGTGCATCTTAATTTAACCATGTTTTAGAAACTTAATTACGGCTAAGCAACTGTGAAATCACTTTTTTTATTAAAGCTAGGTATTCAAGACAACCAGTAGACCATATATATGAAATGTATCCAACCTAGTTCAATTAAGGTTATAAGGTAATCTGTAGTTAAATTTTCCCACAATGATATGGGTATTCCGAACGCTTCCATTAAATTTCACATTGCCATATCTCCCCAAAAAGTATTCTCATCCAGTGTGGGTTGCAGTTTATACCTCGCCTAATTCCCATCAGCATCACCAGCGGGACTTAAACCATGATAGTGTGAAGTATAATTTCAACACGCTAACAATGATGCCACAATGCCACAAGTGTCTTCAGGTCACTGGGCGGATGTGAATTTCAAAGAAGGCTATGCATTTTCTCATATCTCATTCTGCAGCGAGACTATCGATGAAAGAAAATTGTATTTGCTGTATCAATCGACTACTTTACTTAATTTTCCGTTTATAGGCAGGTTTTGGAGACTATCAGTAGAGCATTCATCCTTTATGTTTAAGGTGATAGGGGAACTGATAGTTGAATTTTACCTCAATGATAGGAGTAGACCTTACGGTGTGGGAAAATTGAATGACCAGTCCCCTTAAACCATTTAGGAAATAGACTTAATATATCTCATATTTGTGAAATCCTAGTTACGTAAGCTTTGTTATTACTCACACAATGACGACTATCGACTGCAGATATGACATACCGTTTGGCATCAAATGCATCTAAATGGATGCCAATTACTATAAATTACTATATAAATTGAACCAGGACCGGAAGTGCAGCCAGCAAGAGCTTGACTTAAGGGCTCACGATTCAAGTCCCACTGGGAGTTCAGCTTATGCTAAGTCTGAAAATATGCCACATTTACACTTGAAGGATAACCGTGTTTTAAAATGAAAAGCACAGTTTGACTTACTGACAGTGTCAACAGTCCTCTTCTAGCGTCCTCAGCGGTCTTTATTATTAGTTCCTATAACACCATGATAAAAGGTCTTATGCTATTAACAACCTAATGAGAATTCCCATAAAAAGCACTCATCTCTTTGATAGTTAATATGCAAAATAATAACCTCAAGGGAAGGAAAGTGTACAGCTTTTGCCTCTAGCTTGGAAATAATCGGAATTGTCATCATCCTGCAACTATAACAGTAGCACGCTCAATAATTTCACGCAAGCATTTGTTTAAATTATTCCACTAAATTACTTAGCTTTTATATATTCAAATATTTGTTTTTTTTCTCATTCGACAAAACACAGAAGAATGAAACGAGAACTGAGATGTGTTCTTTTAAAAATGCCCATTTTGCAGGAGATTATCATTTATTATTCAAGAATTAGATATACTTTGAAGCTGCTCTGACCAAATAAATACCTCTTTTGATGGCATGTAATGTGTGAACCAAGGGTCAAGCTAGAATTAGAAGGGATCAGAACATAAGCCAAACCTAGACTGGCTAAGTCTTCGTTATTAAAAATATCATTTTTGAATAAAATTTGGCTGGCAAAAGGAAATGAAGGTCGCGTTTCTTCACGTTATATATTCTTCTAATAATAACAATTCCACGAAAACCAGAGAGTTTATTTAGACTTGGCTCCTTAAAAAGTGGGGAATTTATGAATTGCAATATAGTTAGGAGGACACTTAAAGTGTTCTATATCTTTCTTGTCTCATTTTATAAGATAGAACAAGAGAAAATCCTC